TTGGGTTGAGCGGGATTAAGGGTGGGATTAAGGAGCTCTGGATAATTCCAGAAAGCGACACCGGGCCGGGTGGGTTCTGCACCTCAAGGGGAACTTGAGGCTTGGTTGCAAAGAAAAGGGGAAGGAAGGAAGCGAGGGAGGAGGGAGTGGGAAGGGCAGGATGGGGCCAGCGTGTGACCGTTCCCTTTCTCCACAGTCCCCAGTTGCAGCCAAGAAGGAGAAGAAGGTGTCTTGTATGTTCATCCCAGACGGACGCGTGTCTGTCAGCGCCCAGATCGACAGGAAAGGCTTCTGTGAAGGTGAGGATCGCTGGGAACAGGGAATGGGGGGAGGGAGGTGAGAGTGGGACCTGAAGGGGAAAGCCCAGACATCCCTAACTCTGGGTCCTTGCCTTGGCAGGCGACGAGATCTGCATCAACGCGGACTTTGAGAACACGTGCTCGCGCATCGTGGTGCCCAAGGCGGCCATCGTGGCCAAGCACACCTACCTGGCCAACGGCCAGACCAAGGTCTTCTGCCAGAAACTCTCCTGTGTCCGTGGCAACCACATCATCTCGGGCACCTCCGAGTCCTGGCGCGGCAAAACCATCCGCGTGCGCAAGCTCAAACCCTCCATCCTGGGCTGCAACATTCTGCGTGTGGAGTATTTCCTGCAGGTGAGTGGGGGATCCTCTCGCCCTCTCCTCATCCTCCTCCTCCTCCTGGGGATCTTGATCCCATCCCAACACCCCTAAATCCCGGCTCTCCCCCTGCAGATCTACGTCAGCGTCCCGGGCTCCAAGAAAATCATCCTGGAGCTGCCGTTGGTCATTGGGAGCCGCTCGGGCATCGGGAGCCGCAGCTCCAGCATGGCCAGTCAGACCAGTTCCGAGATGAGCTGGGTCGACCTGAACCTCCCGGATGCTCCAGAGGGTGAGTGGGGTGGGATCCACAAGGTGGGATCACAGCGTGGGGATATAATACCCCGAGGGGCTTGGTGAAGAGGGTGCACAGGTAAGCTCACGGATATCTCCCTACATTCCCACAGCCCCCCCGTGCTATCTGGACATCGTTCCTGAGGATCACCGGCTGGAGAGCCCCACCACACCGCTCCTGGATGATCCCGACGGATTCGACAGCCCCATCTTCATGTACGCGCCGGAGTTCAAGTTCATGCCTCCACCCACCTACACGGAGGTGAGCCCGGCACCGGCACGGGATGGGCCGGGTGGGTCCGGGGTCACCGGCCCAGCTCCCTCACCCGCTCCCTGCTCCGTCGCCCAGGTGGATCCCTGCGTCGCCAACAACAACAACGTGCAGTGAGCGCCGCAGCCGGCGGCTCGCTCCCGCTTATCCCGGACTCGGCTCCATGTGCCGCCCACCCGCGGCAGGGCACCCGCTCCCAAGGAACTGCCACATTCCCGAGGAACGGCCGCGTTCCTGAGAGGAGCCACCGCTGAGGTGGCGCTGGAACCTTCCAGAAAAAAAACCCCGGGCGCTCCGAGCTGGCGGAGAGCCTTGGTGGACTGGCAGAGGAGAGAGATGAGGGCGGATCCGGCTGGAAAAGGGCTGGAAAAGCTCGGCTGCCGCGCTGCCCGTCCTCGCGCAGGGACGGGCGGGAAACACTCGGCTCTGATTCCATCCTAATTCCCGAACTCCGGGCGCTGCTCCGGCCAAGGGAGGGGGACACTGTGACACCACAGATCCGTCCTGTCGTGACACGCCCCCACTGTCACGACTGACGCCTTTTCTACTCTTTGGTTTTGTACATAGTTTGTTTTTTTTGGGGGGGGGGGATAAAAGCACAAAAAACGCCGATTTTGTACCTTTTCGTGGCCCCTGGGGGGCAAAATTTGTAATAAACGAGTTGAAACTGAGCTGCCACCTCGTGTCCTTCCTGGGGAGGGGATGGTTGGGGGGCAGCAGAAAGCTTGGGGGTGGGATTGACCTGCTTTTCCTGATCTCTGGTTTTCCTGGGAGAAGCCCTGGGGGGGTCTCCTGGTTTTTCCAAGGGGAAAAAACTGAGCAGAAAAGTCGTGCTGGTGAGGGGAAACTGAGGCACGGGGAGGGAAACGGGCACAGGGAAGGGAAACTGAGGCACAGGGAGGGAAATGGGCACAGGGAGGGAAACTGAGGCACGGGGGTGGGGGAATATTCCTGCCTTTTTTGGGGCTGCTGCAGGAGCCTCTGCAGCTCCGGCTCTTTTTTTGGAATGTGGGTGAAAGGTGTTGAGGAACGGGCCGTGACCTTGGCTCTGCTCCCTCCCCTCTCTCCCACTTGGAGCCCCCCCAAGACCTTGGCTCTGCTCCCTCCCCCCTCGCCCACTTGGAGCCCCCCCAAAAAACCCCCCAAGCCTCGGTTCCCCCGCTGGCCCCCCCAGCTTTATTCCTGGCCAGGCCTCAGTTTCCCTTCGGAGCCAGAGCCATTCCCGGCTCCGGGCCAAGGAGGTGAAGGGTCACCCTGCTCCGGGCCAGGAATAGGCAGGATGGGCTGGGCCAGGGGAGGCTGCGGGGGCAGAGGCAGCCCAGGGCCCCCCCCAAAAAATTAAGGAGAAGCCCCCAGTCCCCCCTGGAGACCCTAAAATAACACACACCCCCCTCCAAAGAGGTGTTTCCCCCCCTGGAAAAGGCCCAGGAGGAGCCCCCGCCCCCAAAATCCCACTGCCCCCAAAATCCCACCCCCACTGTGTGTGTGGGGGAGATGAACCCCACAGTCGCCCTGACCCCCCCCTCCAATTTACAGCTCCAATTAAACTAATTAAGGCCATAAACCTTCTCCCTCCCCCCATTGGCCTGCCTGGACTTTGTGCTGGAGCAGCTCTGGAGCAGGATCCACATGGATCTGGGGGAGCAGCCAGACCCTCACCCCCCCCTCCCCATCCCACCGTGGTTTTGGGGGACCCCCATAGTTGGGGACCCCTCCATGGGTTGGGGACAAACTCCCCCCCCCTCAAGGCAGCCCGTGGCTCCCGGCACTTCCAGAGGGCCCAGGATAAACTGGGAGCACTGGGAGGGGGGGAGTGAGACACCCCAGGGATGGGATGGGATGGGATGGGAATATGGGATGGGGATGGGGTGGGAATATGGGATGGGAAGGGGGTGGGAACACGAGCGGATCCGGGGAGGGGGGGGACATTGAGGCTGGTGGGGACACACACGTATCCCAAGGGATTCCAAGGGATTTGGGGCACCTCCCCACCAGGCAGGGGGTGGGGGGGGCAGATCCCACCCTCTGGAAGCTCTGGGAGTCCTGGAATTGCCAGGTGGGGGCACCTTCCCTGGGGGGACGAAAAAAGAGGGAAAGAAAGGGGGAGAAAAAGGGGTGGAGGGGGGGAGAAAAAGGGGGAGAGAAACCCAGGGAGCAGCTGGAAGTCAACAAGTGTTGGAACATTCGTGGCCAGGGGAGGGAAAACCGGCCCCAAACAGGAACTGGGATGGGGGGGGGGCAGCGCGTGAGGCTCATGTGAGCAGCTCCCACCCCACCCCGAGGCACAAACAACCTTCCCCCCTGAAAAAAACACTCTTTCCTCCCCAAAAACCACTTCCCCTCAAAAAAAAAATGCCTTTCTCCCCCCCAAAAAAGCCACCTCCCCCCCAAAAGAGCTGCCTCCCCCC